CACGGACGGACGGACGGATGGACGCGCAACGCAGCTCTCCGGGTCCCACGCGGCCCGGAGCCTCCCGGTGGCGGAGGGCGGGATCGCACCACGGAGGCAGTCCACCTGCTGGGTGCCCAAGGAGCCTGGACACTCAACAGGGCACCCCAAACCTGCCGGTGTCCAGAGTGCCCACCACCACACACCCATAAACCCCCCGGAAACAGGAGCGCCTACGAGAGCAGGCTCACTGCGAGCTCCAGGGGTGCACCCAGCACCCTCAGAAAGCCGTCGTGAGCCGAAGGCAGGGAAGCCAGCAGATGTGTGTCCACCCGGGCCCCGGCGGGGCGCACAGGGGTGGATGGCGGGCACGCTCCTGGGGCGCGCCCACTCATCCTGGGGAAGGGGGGCGCGGCCAGCCTGCACGTGGAGGCGGACAGCCAGCTGGGAAGGTCTGCGTCCAGGACAGGCGACTAGACAGAGAAGTAGCTGCTGCCCGGCCATCACGGCCGCCCACCCTGAAGGAAGTGGCCGCTAAAAGGCCCTGGACAGGACAGGGGAGAGACTGCAGCGACTGCTCAGGCTGCGGCGCCTCATCGCCCTTCAAGCTGACCCTGAGCTCATCTCTCTCTCTCTCACACACACCACACACGTACACACACACACAACCGGTTCAGCCTTCAGGGGAACAATTGCCTAGTTTGTAAGGTGAAGTGGAGACAAAGCACTTTGCGTCCTGGGGAGGGGAAGGAGGGAGAAAGGGAGTTGACGGCATGGATGATTGTTAGCCCCACCGGATGGGACAGAACAGGAGAACTGTCTGGGAAGGGATATATTGGAAGGAGTATGAGATGTCAATTAAGAAAAGAGGAGAAACACATGAGCGTGTTTAGAGACAACATGCAAAAGAAAAGCAAAAAGAACATACTAAACCATGACAGCGCCCATTGTTAGATATTACTTGGAAAGTGACGGGCCTTCTGCTCCTGCAAAGATTTACAGTCTCCTAAGCCCCACGTAGGGGTCCCAGGTTGGACTCAATGGAGGGCAGGTGTGGTTGTAATTGACAACACATTCTTTCTTCTTTTTTAAAGACCATTGTGTTGGGGGCTCTGAGAGCTCTGAGAAGGACCCACACATCCATGGTATCAAGCACATCTGTACACATGCTGCCATCATTCTTTTCTAACATTTACTTCCTATTTGAGCCCTTGGGGTCAGCTCCGCTTTTTTCCCTCCTTTGCCACCTCCCACCCTCCTGACCCCTTGATAAATTATAAATTATTATTATTTTCATATCTTCCGCCCACCACTGCCTCCCGTCCCCCATGGTTTCTGTGCACAACACATTCTTTCGATACACGGTCCCATTTCATCATGTGCCACAAAATGTGGCAGAAGACGTGGCCCTACATGACCTCCTCTGGCTTCCCTCTGGCCTCCACCTCCATCTTTACTTACCCCATTCTGACGCACGCCTTTCTGCCCACGCCGTTCTGAGTCTATGCTGCCTCACCTCTGCAGGCAGTGCTACGGGGCATCAGAATTCATGGCAATGACCACACAGAACTCACAGAAAATACTCCAGATTAAGGGAGTTAAAAATAATAATAAGGGGCCGGCCCCAATCCCAACTAGAAGAATTCACTTCAGAGGACAGCACTGAAGTTACAGCTCAGGGAGAAGGACAGGTCTGATCAGAGCACAAGGGAGCAAATGAAGGGGGAGGAAGAGAGAGTGGAGCACATCCTGGTCCACCAAGTCTTGAGGACCATATCCCTGCTCAGAGCAGCCAATGCACAGAGAGGAACCATATGGCCGGCCCACTACGAGACATGACGTCCCTCACTGACCCATAGCCGTATGGGGGACAACACTGGAGACACAGTGCCGGAATTGCACCCGATCTGACCCCACCACACCGAGGCAAAACACTAAGAGCGTGCAACAGAACAGCAGGGGAGCCTCAGAGCAATGACCTCCCCAGGGAATACCAAAAACAGACTTTGGGGCCAGGGCACCCCTTCAGACTGGCCCGGAAAACACTCCTAAAGGTCAACAAACAGATCTTGAACTATTTGCAGGATTTTCTTTCTTTCTTTCTTTTTAAAATCATTTTATTGGGGGCTCATATAACTCATCACAATCCATACATACATCAATTGTGTAAAGCACATTTGTACATTCATTGCCCT